AAACTGCATCTTAACAGCCCCCGCTGCGCTGCTCTGCCCACACGCCGGGCTCGGGCTGCTGCTGCTGCGCTGGAGGAAAAATAAGCCCTGAAACCCGTGTGCGTTGGCTTGGTGGGGATGGAGGGACCTGTTTAACACCCAGATTCTTCTCGTTCTTGGCAGGTTTCGACCCGTAAATGCCGCTATCGGGTCCTAACAGAAACAAGTGTAATTTTACCAGCCTAGGAGTTTAGGTCTGATGGATTCTGTTCCACTAGTTTGGGAAAATCAGAGCTCAGGTGCCAGTTCTTTACCACAGTTGCTGAAATCCGGCTTTGATTTGGAAGTAGTAGACTTAATTGCTGTATAGGAATTGGACGTGGCGGAGTTTCAAATTTCCCTTCACCTGTGTTCTGCGTGTGGGGGTTTTGGGCCTCTTCCTTTCTCCAGGCTGTTAAGATGCAGTTTTGTGATCTAAAGAAGTAGCTGGACTTGCTGTTCTTTAAGATTTAGATGTTTTTGTGTAGGGGCTTGGAACCAAAAATCACTAAGATCCAGGCAAAAATAAAAGTTTATTTTGTAATCTGGAATGAAGATATTAAAAATGCAAATTTGAAAGTAAAAATAATATAAAAATATTTATAAATAAATGCTACAGACCTTCTAATGATGCTCAAAGCTGTAAGGAGATTTTTATAGGCTGCTTCCAATACAGGATTGAATGAGATCCTTGCGTAGGTTTATGTTGCGAAATACTTTCTTCCTCCTCTGAAAGTACCTTCTCCATACATGTGATCCATCCACACTGACATGTGTGCCACCACATTCCCCACATGCCATATGCAGTGCTCTCACATGCATGATCATGATTGTTAAAGGACAACACCTGGCACCCTTGGACCACTCATTATTTTGAGTGTATGGAATAAATGAAGCCTTCTTAAGTTAGCTTACACATTGAAGTGAGAAGGAAGCTAAATTTATTAACACCCGGAGGAGTCATTGGGAACTGATAGTCTTTTGCAATTTAGTCTTTGTGGAGAGGTTACAGACACTTCTGCACGCGTACAAGAGATGTGCTAAGTTTGGCATCATTTTAGGTTGAATGCCAACTAATTAGTCATCTAGCAAAGATGCTTTATGAGCATTATCAGATTTCCAAAATTAAGCAACTACTAAATATGTAATACATGGTGATTTTTATTTTAATACAGTTGTCCTTTGCAAGATATTTTGCAAGAGGAGGTATTTTTCCCCTGTAAGTGTGGCAGACTTACAGCAAAACGCAATCAAGGAGAAAAAGTTCATTGTATCTTCTTGAACTTTCACATTGGCAATATTGAAGTAAATGAGAGAGAGACGAAAAAACTCAGATTTCAGCCTGGGAAAACACCTATGGGTCAATATTTCACAAAATGGACATTATTTTGCTTCTTCCTTCCTTATAACAATCTCTATGGTTTGAATTTAACCACGCTTTGAGTTTTGAACTTTTAAGTAACACATGGGGGGAAAATGATCTGTTTTAAAAATGATGCGTGCCTCCCTAGCTCCTTACAGTGAAAATTATCTACACCTGATTTGAGAAAAATAACTTTGGATTAAAAAAAAAAATCAAGCAACAAAACCAACCAAAGAAATTTCTGTAACTGATCAAATCTCACTTTTTGACACTGCTCAGAGTAATAACTACAGACTATTGAAATAGAGAATATAAGTCAACTTTTACTTACATTTTGGGGTTTTTTTCTGATAAATCTTTATCAGAAATGGGATTTGTAGCTTGAAAGTGGGTCACTCGCTAGTTTATAACATTGCAAACAAAATGTCAGAGGAGATGGGACTTTCTGATGAGCAGCAGAATACTTATTTTTGCTTTCTTCTTGAAGCTGATTCACCATCTAGTTTTCACAGGGCCTGAAATGAAACGAAGGTTTTATTTTAAGAACAAAAGGCCTCACAGAAGACTAGCTGATGCTGATTTTAAACTTCAAATTGATGAAAATATTTCTAATTCTGGCACAAATTATGTTTAAAATCAGACTTGGGGAGGTAGCCAAATTCTGAATTTTGCTGGCATGTTCCAGTGTTACCACAAATAAAAATACATGAAGATAATTCACATGCAGAGCAAAGGAGAAAATGTTTGATTTTGGAAATTTCCTACAACTGGATCAAAATTCTCCATACTATCATTAATTTGTATAATTTTTGGTAGTTATGGAGGAGAACTTAAATTGCCTCAGCATGCTTACGAATGTGGATGTGGTCTCCTGGGAGAGTTGTGAACTCCATTGGAGTACATGGAATCTTTTCTTGGTGGTACTTAGACAGGAGCATGGCATGTATTGAGGGTTAATAGCAGAATGAAGTTTCCCCATGTCACTGGATTCACACACTGCACTAAAAATTAAAAACTAAAATTAAATTAAAAAATTAAATTAAAGTTCACTTTATTAAATGACTTCAATAAATCTAAAAAGTTGCTGTCACCTTACTAGGCACTGTGAGGTTTGGTAGTGTGAAAAACAAAACCAGAAGGGTTTAATAAAAAGGTTACTAAAGACCATTTAAGTGAAAGTTCCCATTAAGTTGGGGCAGGGGGGAGAATCTAAAGAGAGAAGCAAAGAAATGTCACTTAGAAATTGAATGAAGTAAAGCAGAATGGGCAGTTTCATGCAGGAAAGAAAAAAGCCCTGCAAGTGCTGTCAGGAAGACTTTAAATGCATTAGAGTTTTGAATTTGAGTAGATGGAAGGTATTTAGGGACTAATGAGTAAAGTAATGCTGTATGATGTTTGAAAATAGTGTGATGGAAATGAAGTTAGTTCATTCTCTATACTGTATGCTCTGTTATACCATTATCCTGAATTTTGGCATGCAATTTATAATCCAAGTAGATTTCCTGGTCAAAACTACTCTATAAAAACAGTGTTTTTACAGAAGCTGCTTGTAGTGTCATTAATTAAATTCATCGTCTGTTGGAAAATTTTGAGAGTACTACCAGAGTACTATTTTGATTCAGCCATAAAAGTTTGAAGTAGAAGCATTTCTAGCTAAATCCTGTCTATAGTTTTCATCTGCTTTTAAAATTTTGTGCATTACATGAAGAAAAACTATAGAAAGTTACACAAGTTGTATTTTCTCTGAAAATCACCTTATTATTTTTCTGGTGATTAGTTTCAAACTGACAGTAGAAGTCTAAAGTCTTTGAGAAGAGCATTATTCACTTGAATTAAAAGGCCTAGGTCTGATTTGCCATTTTAAAGCCTTTCATGGTTTCAGACTTTACCTGAGAGTGACTCTTGACATTAGCAAAGGCCTGCAGGAGCTCATTCAAACCTGTATTGGATGGTAACTTTAAGAAATGTAATGGTGTCTTTGAAATTGTCATGATACAGTAACTAATCACACTTAATCCTGGACTTAGGGATGTAAGAAGGAATAAGGAGACTGAAGCTGATGGGGGTGACAACACCATGTATCTGCTAATTTTAATGAATTGTGCGTTTCAGAGAACACCTGATCTCTGGTGTCTCTTTTAATGGCCAGTTGTAAGGCCAGACCAAAGAAAGAAGGCTGTGTGTGACTTGCCTCCTGCCCAAGGTTCTTAGGTTGGCCGTGAAAGACCTGCGCTGACCACGAGCTGCGGCACTGCCCACAGCCTGTTGCTGGTGCACTGTGGTGTGGTTGCCCATCAGCTGGTGAAAGCTGGAGCCCTCTCCCTTAGTTCTGTTCATTTGTGTGAGGTAGAACCTGGCATAAGTTTTGAGTCTCACTATCAACTATTGATGTTAGCTCTGTGGCTTTTTCTTTGGAAATTGTCACATCCACTGCTTACTCCTGAACAGCAGGAATAGGACTGTATGCATTCATTTCCCTTTTTCTTTTCTTCCTCCTTTTGTAGTCTATCATGATCTTGTAACTGTGGAAGTGCAGCTGAGTACTTGGTGGAATTAAATATATTGGCCATTGTGTCCCTTAGGAAGGGTAGGAGAAGGATTCTCTGCCCCTCTAGTCTGTGTCTTGTTCAGCTGATGAACAGCATTTCTGAAGAGTTTCATTTCCTGTCTATGCAGGACTTTAGTCAGAAAATAAACACAGAATACATTTGAAGAGCAAAGGCAATTTTCTCTTTTTAGAGAAAATAAAAATATCTACATGATTATTTGCTCTTATTAGGAACTCAAGCATACCTTAAAGGTTCTGTTGCTCAGCATAATAGATATTATAATTTGTTTTTACTATTTAGATTGCAAATGGACTTGAAGTGAGCATTGAAAAGTGAAGTGGGTCATTTTTTTTTTTCCGGCAGTTGTCCATTCTTTCTCAGCTGGTGAAAGTTGATGACTCAAAGCTTAACAGGATATGGTGTTAGATACCTGTAGGTGACTGATTTGAATTTGGCCTTGGTTAGTAATGCTTGAAGTCATTACCATCTGTCTGTTGTTCAGTGATCTGTATAAAATTAGCTGATATTCTTAGTCCAGTTCTTAGTAGACAGGTGTCCACATTGTGAAAACTGGCACCAGTATTGGGCTTATTGACTGTCTCAGCAGAGATGTTTTGCTGATAAATAGGTAAAGAAGCAGTAATCTTCTAATTTCTGGAGATACACTTTTCCCTTTTGGAGTTCAGATATGCTGACAGATGAACATACATGGAAGACAAAGGTTGTTGTGTGCTGTAGTGTTTGTTGTATTATCTTTTGGTAGAGGATGTAGCCCATGTGTTTGAATTCTGCATTAATTTTTTAAAAATGCCCTACCTAGTTCTGGCTTCTGAACAGAATTCTTACATATAGCAGGTGTCCTTAGCTGTTCTTTCTGATAGAATGAAAGAAGAGAACATGTTTCATATGATGGTTTTTTTGGTTTTTTCCTTTTTTTTCCCCTCACTTAAAAAATGTCAACCCTATTCAGGCAGAAAGAATTTGGAAAGAGAAAACACCAATTCTTTCACATGTAGTTATATTTAAAAAAAAATCTGTAGCGACTACTTTTTTTTTTTTTTAAAGGTAGCTGTAGGAACTGATGTAATATGATTTTATGTGGTTTATATATCCTGAGACTGATCTCATAATAGCACCAGTAACTGCACAGCATTTAAATTGTGCATTGAAACCTTTGTACAGACTTGTTTGTTAATGTTTCTGATTAGTTGTGGGACCCTTGATAGCAAAATTTGCAATATCCAGAAAACCTGTGCAGGATTTGAGTGTTTACATACAGCGGAGATCTCTGCAGTGACAGTTGCCTATGGAGACGCAGGGATAATGGAGCCCGAAGTCTTTCACTGGTAGCTGTGCTGCAGTTCAACCCATATGTTGACATAAAATGCATGGGAGAGCTCTTTTATGTTCTTCTTCCCAGGGTTAGGGCCTGGCATCACTTCTTCAGCCCACATGTAACATCTGTAGCACTGAACTATTCTGGCTTTTTGCAGGGGTTGCTTTTAATCCTGCCTGAGCTTCTTTAAAGTATATTATCTTGCAAGCAGTGATTCAGACTTAACTGTTCCCACTGCAGTGTGTAGGACTCTCCTCCTATTTCATTGACATAAAAATATACACCAGTATGATATAAATAGTTCTTCAGCATTCCTGAAGATTTATGGTGGATAGATACTTTGTGAAGATCCACTGAGGGGTAAGCCTAAATGGTCATATTTAAAGTTAATTTGCCTTCTTACAACTCATTGCATTTTATTGCCAGCAATAGAGCATTAAGGATTCTAATAGGATCTCCTGCTTGCGGAGCCTGGGTTGATTAAGTGGTGCAACACATTCGTTTTGGAGGGCTGCTTAAATCACCAGTAAAAGTAGGTTAGGTGACTACAGATCACCTCCTCGTTGACAGGAATTCCCACGATTAATAATAGTTTAAAAAAGAAGCAGCAGCATGACTCACTATTTATACCCCCGCTATTGTTACCAGCTATGTTTTCTTCTAGAACAAGAAGAATAAGAGATAGGTATTGGTGTCGCCATAGATACTCCTGGGTTGGCATTAAGTACTGGGACGTGCTAGAAAATCCAAGATTTGTCATTTCACAACCGTTAAGGCCAATGTAGGTGGAAGACGTGGAGCATGAAAGAGCTGCAATTGGAGAGAAAGCATTAAGGAGATAATCAGCTTCACTGTCTTTGCTCCTTCCAGACACTGAACTGTTTGACCAAGGTTTTGGCCGCAAAGCAAGGATTTGTGTGTCTGTACTAGCTGGATAAACTGTTATGATGTCTAAAGTATTTCTAGATTCGCATTCATCTGGCATTTTCTAGTGGAATAAAATGTGATTTTAGCATCTCTTTTATCACCCTTCTGCCATCATGTTGGACAAGCAACCAAAAGTAAACAGTATTTTGTTGCCCCAGAATTGTCTGAGGGCTCCTGCTTCCTTCTTTCTCATGGATCATACTAATAAATATTTGAGAAGAGAATAGCAGTTACTGGAGAATGAACTCAACTATAGTTTTTGTCTTGTGCTGCTGCTGTAGTGTTTCTAATAGCATTAAGTCATAGGCTTGCTGATTTGGAGATTAGCTTCTTGATCTTAGCTTTCCTCCTCTTTCTGAGAAGCTCCAAAAAACAAAGTTGCGAAACCCTCTCAGTGCCTATTGCCCATGAAGCTGTAATCATTTAATAAAACAAAGGAATTCAATGTCTGAGAAGAAGCAGCCCATGCCTGTGAGAAAATCTGTCCCTTTGCTCAATTTGGTATGATTGTAAAATTACGGTGTTCTGTGAGCTAAAGAAAAGGGTATAACACCAGAGGAAAAACAAATGTTTGGGGTTTATTGAAGGACTATTCCTATTTAGTTTCTTAGAACTAACAAGTAAAGCAGTTCCTGAAAGGAATTCAGGGACTTGTCTCTATTACTCAGTAAAAAGGGAATACTGAATATTGAACTCAGTTCCTGAAAGGGATTCTTGAAAGAACTGAGTGCAGTATTCAGTATTCTCTTATTAGTGAGTAACAAAGACTAATTCCTGTATTTTCTTATTAAATCTATGTGGGAAAGTGAATTTTTCCACTTCTGTAGGACTGATTCCAGAAATACTTCAAGTTCAAATGAAATAAATGTTTATGAATTTAAATAAACCCTGGATAAATTTTAATAGTGTGCTTATGGGAGATCAGTAGTAATTGAATATCTTCTATTTCTACATGCAAGTATGACTGGGCTTTTCTCTCCTATTTTCTAGCACTGTAGATAAATGTCTTCACTTCTAATCTCTCAGAGCTCTTCTGCTCTCCATAAATAAATAGACTCAGGAAATGTCATTGGACTATGTTGTTAGTAAAACGAGTCATCTAAACACTCACGGGTTTCCCTGACTGATGAATGCTTTGTTATTTGTAGAAAAGGGAGCAGCTTCCATTTGACATGTTTAGAGAGTAAGCCATTGTAAAACAAAGGACATGGTATGCAAGTGTGTTACCTGGAACTTGGGGGTTTCTTCTTAAAACCTCTTTGAGACAGACACGACAAACTATGCAACTTTAAAGGGACCTCTGAGCTACCTACTGCTGTACAGTGAAATTTCTTTAGAGTTATTTTGAAAAAATGCCCTTCTGTGAAACTTAGCTTCCAGCAAAGTAATTTTTAACATTTAAATGAAAAATTCTTAGCTTTTCTTCTCTAAATAATTAGCAAATTGTGTAGTAAAACAATTTCACATGGTTTTCTTTTACTTTTTGTTCACAGCTTGAGACTTGCTCTAGGTGCAAGAAGTTCAGGTTCCCTGTTTTCCCATTGCTTACTTCTTTTTTTATCTTTTACCATTTGATTCAAAGTGACATCTGTGAAGAATGATTTTTTGAATTTTTTTTTTCCTTTTCAAGTAGGACATATTCTTCTGCTGCTAACTCTGTTGAGTCTTTCCTCCTTTCATTTTTACATTGCAAATATTATGATAAAACTTGAATTATCAGACTTGAGCCACTTATCTTCTTTAGTAATTTGAGTTGTAGGGGTTTACAAGCTGGTTGTGAATTTGTAGATCATGCATGTTTTTTTAAACAGATACTGTTTGGTAAGACTTTCAGCAGCTTTCTTTTTTTAAACTTACGATGTGAGTTAATTACCTGAATTAAAGTGTTAGCTAATACTTTGATCACAAAATCATCATAACAGCTGATAATGATTAGCATCTTTCTAGACTTTTACATCAGGAAGAGACCTAAATCGCAGTGAAATTAGTGTGTGTATTCTTTGATTTAAGGGGAAACATAGAGCGTGCTGAAGAGTGAATGCCCATCTAAAATCTCAAGGTAGTAAAGGAAATAATAGATTAAAATGAAACTGTTTTCTCTGGTGGTTGATTTGCCGTACGCAGCTGTGAGAGTGCAAAACCTCTGCTCAGTGCACTGCTTTTGACAGTGTCCTAAGTATTATTGGTTCGTTCAAGACAGGCATTGTAGCAGAATGTGGATCTTGGGTCAAATCCTCAAAAATACTTAGACCTCCAACTTTCATTTTGGATATTTGTATTGTTAAATGTACTTAAGTACATCTCAAGAAATGGATGCAGTTCTTGATCCTGAAATACTAAATTGCTCAGTGCATGCTAATGTATATAGTGCAATTATTACCAGTAGGTCCAAATAGGAGTAATAAATGCTTTGAGGAATGTAGATTTACTGGATCCAGTGCTTGTTGTTAAGTTGAATGTTGTTTTTAGTGAGCCTTTTAATTTTTTGGCATCAGTTTTCTTTGCCCTCGAGTCAACACTGGTTTTCTGAATGGGGATTTGCATGGAAATGCTGCTTTTGATTTACTTATGTGGTAAAGGTAATTGAGCAGTGCCTCTTATTTGAGACTTATCTGAATTGGCCTCTGTTTGCATTTTGCTCTTGCTCATCCACAGAACCCTGAAAGCGGTAACTGTTCACACACCAGGATCATTTATGGGAATTGTTGACCTGCAAAATTCAAATTTTCTTGCTCACTTCCTTTTCATACATTAGGTCCTGTTACTGAAGTCAAAACAGATATATATGTCACCAGTTTTGGACCTGTTTCTGATGTAGAAATGGTATGTATCTCTGGGATTAAAATGCCATTTCCTGGTTCTGAGAAACCATTAGCTGCAGTAGGAGTGGATGCTTCATCTGTACTGTTCTGTCAATCATGCAAATTAGGCAAGATTAGTAACAGCTTAATTTACAGGTTATAATTAGATACATAAGGCCTGATTCTGGTCACACTTTCAGTGGGTTTTGGCTGGTTTAAGAAATTCACTTCATAGGATTTAAAACAGATTTTCATGGCACAGAGGCAGAATCCAGCTTTGCAGGGAGTGGCTAAGTAAGTCTACTGTGGGGAAAATGTGTAATACCTTTGAAATTGCTTTTAGTTTCTGAAACTTGTGCTATTCTCAGGTCAGTAATAATGACATCACTTCAAAAACACTTGTTGATGTTTTCATTTCAGATGAATGCCCTTTGCTGATTGTTGTGCTCCCTTAAACATCACTTTCAGCAAACGTTTGTCTGTTAAGAGTTTTCATAAGTATCTGCAGAAATTAAATGTCCAAGTGACATGCATGAAATCGTGACAGAGGAGAAATATTACATTTGCCTGTTCTGTTATTTGTGCCTGAATGGCTTCTGGTTTCAAGGTCAAATCCAGAAAAACACTCATCAACTTCTAAAATACGATGATATACACTTAAATCATACAGCAGTTGATCTTTTCTATAACGTATCCAAGAAATCCCATGGAAATAACACAGCCATATGTGCTGAACTGAACTTCTTCATGGAAAAAGCAGTTTCAGGGTAGTAATTTTCTTCCCATATAGCGCTGTTGTTTACTTTGTGTTGCACCTGATTTATTTCTATTATGTGGAAAGCTATGTGATAGCAAAGCTATGTGAAGGTATTTTTTCAAGAGCTACATTCGTGACAGCAGTCTCATGTTAAAATGCATCTTACCCCTTCATTGGTTATCATGTGCAGAATGATGCTTATCAGAGTGGCAAGGGGGACAAGAATGTGGTCCCGAGGAAATCTAGGAATATGTGCCTCAAATCTACAGTAAGGGCTGCATGGCATTTCTCAGGTTTCGTTTTCACAGGAAGTTATTATTTATATTGGAGCATATAAATAGGCAGAAGTGAGAACATGGACTGAAGATAGGTAAGGAACTTGCAAAAGGAGATTTTACAGCCGCTATTTCCTCTTTCTTCGTTAGGGATGATTTAGGAGGCTATTTAGGGATACAAGAATTGTTTCTGGAATACCCTTTACTTAATGTATACATTAGTGACCCAATGTAATCTGAATGTGGCTGCACTCATAAACCTTGCTGCAACGGTGATGTGTACTATGGTCTCAGTACAGGGGATGATCAGTCTTTTTAGTTGCTTTTTTTACCCACTTTCATTTTGTAATGAAAATGGTTGAAATGTTATTTTACAAAATCTGTCAGGTAGAAGGTAATAACAGAAACTGCTACTTATGAGCTATGAAGTTGCCAGCAAGAAATGACACTAGAGGAGACACTTTTCATGGATTAACTATAAATCACAGTGGAGGATACAGTCATGGAAAAGAAGACAGATATAATCCTAAGATGCATTACACTAGTAGACGTGCCTCCTTGCCAACGCAAATAGATATGGCCTTAAAAGTAATTTCAATGGAAACATTATGCAGAAGAATTTGAAGTGAAGTCAGAAAACATTGTTTGGCTTAACAACAAAATCAAAACTATAACTTAGAAAGGACTTAAAGCCTTCCATGTGACATTTTTCAATGCCACATGATAGTTTTTTTGTGAAATGCTTTAGCTTCCTGAGATGAGAAATGCATTTCTTCATCCATTCATTCACATGTGATTTCTCATGGTGTGCCTGTGCCTGAAGTTCTGCAGTTGTTTGCATGTTTCTTTGGAGCATCTGAGTGGCTTTTCTGAGGAAGTTAATGGGATAGTTACATACTTTTAAAAAAATGTATATATATGCAAACCTCTATATAATTTATTATCCCCGTTTTGTGGGCTTGGCAAAGGACTTACTTAGCTTTCCTCAGTTAAAAGCTTACTTTCTGTGAGATGAAGTTAGGTTTTCTTTCCTAACTTTAAGGTGGAACTAATCATTTGTCCTGGTATTTTCAATTTAGCCAGCAGCAGCCATTCTGTGGATATATTTTCTTTAAAAATCTGTAGACAATTGACAAAGATCATTTTGTTTCCAGTTATATGCTTGACTTCAAATTCGGTTGCCTGCTTCCTGCAACCTAATTAGGTTAATTATTCCTTAATGATTAAATACGTAGCAGTTTATTGATATGACTAATGTAAGAAATTAAGCTATTAAGAAGTACACAAGACACTTTAATTGGTGGAAAGATGTTTGTGTAGTGGACTTAGGATTTTCTTTTCTAATGATTTCTTTGCTCCTGAGGGATTTCTTCTTTTACAGGAAACACACATGCAAATGTGATCTTTGTTTTTCTGCAATTTAAAACAGGAATATACAATGGATGTCTTCTTTCGTCAGACATGGGTAGATAAAAGATTAAAATATGATGGCCCTATTGAAATTTTAAGACTTAACAACTTGATGGTTTCGAAGGTATGGACTCCTGATACTTTCTTCAGGAATGGGAAAAAGTCTGTTGCACATAATATGACAGCCCCAAATAAACTCTTCAGGATAATGAGAAACGGCACCATCCTGTACACAATGAGGTATCTGATGTGTTTGTTTGACTTCTTACAATTACTGTATGCAAAAGTTGTACTGCCTAGACAAAATGGCAACCAGAGACTATTTAATTTGTTCCATTATAGGCTTACAATAAGTGCAGAGTGTCCCATGAGATTAGTGGATTTTCCCATGGATGGTCATGCTTGTCCTCTCAAATTTGGGAGTTGTAAGTTACAATTATGAAATTTCTTGTAACTACAGAATTTAAATAGTAGAATTAAATTTTGAGCAGTTACTAGACTATCTGAATTTATACAGTTATGTCTTGATATGCAATCCCTATGCAGACAAAACTCCTGTTAAGCTCCTTGGGACTTCAATTTAGGACTTCAAAAATTAAACCTAGATAACTAAAAAGCAGGTGGTGATTCAGCTATTATGTTAAACCCCACTATTCTGGATACACAGTTGCTTGAAATACGAAGTTTTTCTTGGTATTTGGGGAGGAATTGGATCCTCAGTAAAGTGAGAGATTCTCTGGAGAAGACAACTTAAAATAGCCAGGTAAAAGACACCTGGGGAAGAAGGTTAGCTGACTTTCTCTACAGCTCGTGGGAGCACACTGGCATATTAAGAAAGAGGTGTAGGTTACATGTAGAGATTTAACCTCCAGGTGTAATTGTCTGTCTTCTGGCCTGTAAGAGGAGTCTGCATGGCAAGTTTAGACTAGATAAATAACTTTTTAACTGGTGAGAAAAATCTTAGTGAATATGACTCTGGAGATGGTTGGGGCATTCCATTAACTCTCTCGTTATTATTTTAAGCCTTCTTGGTCACTGACTTCTCTGCTTTAGACCCTCTATTGTCTGGACATTAATCTGTTTCCTTTGACCTCAGAGCTCTGAAATCAGAAATGGCTGGAGAACATTCAGAGATTTCCCACTGCATAAATATAGCTTATATAGCTCCGTAGTCAACCTGAACAGGGCTATGAAAGACACTGCTCTGATTTTTCATTAGTGAAGACCAGGTGCTGCAAGATTTGTCTTTGGTATCAGCTGTATGGTAGGGGTGCTTTGATAGTGGGAACTCCTCCACAGTCATAGCTCTTCAGACAGAATCACCACTCAGCAGGAATTGTGCTGAGCGCTAGTCTGATATTTCCCACAGTGAAACTTGAAATAAAATGTGTAGCCTCTTCAAATGTAAGACTGATTTGATTGAATTTTAACAGGAGTTTGGACTGTGTAGGGATTGAATGCTAGCCCTAAGATACGTCTTTTGCATTAAATGTAAAATGTTTCTTTTTATGTGCTTATTTTGGGGCCATTGTGAATTTTTTACTGACCTCAGTTTCTGGCAAATATTTTAAACAGAAGTTTAAAATATTGTCGTTTTTAGTATAATCATTCTTTTCTGTAAAGTAATGTGCACCCAGTCTTCAAAATATATCCTCCTTGTACATACACTTTTCTTTTTTTTTCTTTTTTTTTTTTTTCTTATATTAGTACATTTTAATAGTAAAATTTTAGTTAGAAATTGTTAAAATAAAGATAATTTTTGCATGACCAATAAGGGCTGATCCAGAAGGGATTTGGGTTTAGTCTTCACATTCATATGTGAAGTGAATTTATGTGTGACACTTGACATATAACCTCAGCTCTTATTTATTCTACTCTGAGGGTGGCTTTTCGGGGGTAACTTAATGTGAAGGGCATCTTCTGAAGTGGTTCATGGGTGTTTTACTGTTTGGTTTCAGTAGTTTGGCTTGGGTTCTTAGTAAGGCATGAGAAAAAGTTTCCTATTTATGCAAACTGATGCTGTGTTGTAGATGCTTATCCAAAGAGTGAAATGATTTATACCTGGACAAAAGGACCTGAGAAGTCAGTGGAAGTTCCTGAGGAGTCTTCCAGTTTAGTTCAGTATGACCTGCTTGGGCATACGGTGTCCTCTGAAACTATTAAATCCATCACAGGTAGGAATCTTGTCAGTTAAAATCAACTTGAGGTAAAACTAGCCTGTAACATTGCTCAAATAATTTTTTTTTCTTTTTCTTCCTGTAAGTTTAATTCTACTGAATGTCATAGGGTATGTATTAAGGGCCGAGAGTGTAAGTCTGAATTAGGTTTCTGTCCTTGAGTTTTACATTTGCAGATTCATTACAGTAGATTGCGACAGTCTTTCAGAAAGCTAGAATGAGATCATTACTCCAAGGGACAAAATGAGCCTTTAATCACTGCTTAAAATGCAGTTTGAAGAGTCAAGAGGATGCCTGGGTGAGGAAGTAATTTCTCAGCACTGTATCCACATTATGTGCAAAAGACTTCCTTTGTTTGGTGGTGCAAACAGCTCAGGATAGAAGTACAGCATACAGAATGGGTTATTAAAACCATAAAAACCCTCTAGTCAGAAAAGGGTAGGCACAAATACGTTAGTCACAATAGATACTTCTGCTGATTTGTGCTGTAAGAAATAAGGCAAATGGCAACTACAGGCATCCAAAATGAGTGAAGTATCACTGATGAGCAGTGTGGTGATAAACAAGCATATTCCCAAAATATTTTTAAAATTTGGAATCATTTTCTAAGCATCAGCAGGTTTGGGTGTTGTGAGATAGTCAAAATGAAACCAATAAAACAAATATATTTGATGTATTGCTCTGTGGATGTTTTACTCAAAGATAAAATGGCATTTTGTAATTCACTAGAGATTTACTTCTCAGCATATAGATTATTGTGAGTTAACAAAAAGTCCTTGCTGTCCCAAAAGGCTCATTCTGTAGTGCTTTATTTAGACAGTTTATTGAGTTTATGGTAAAAGTGCTTTTTTCGTCTGTTTGCTTAATATAAATGATAACATTTTAGATAAATTTGGAGCATTTTTAATTCTTCTTAATGATTGTTGCATTTTTTTCATTATCATAGCGGGGCTGACTCATAAACCCAGCAAAAAGTTGACATGCTTGCTTAACATTTGATGTGTAATCATTGTTCTTATTGTTTTATTCAGAAGGTAGGTACCACAATGTTATCGATACTGTGGTAGGTAGATAAATTGTGTCTTGGGATTCTCTTCTTCAACAGCTGTCAAAAGGATTTTTAAAATCATGCTTATACTGTAAAATGTAATCCAGTATTAGTTGTATTATAGTATTTTTGATGTCAACTTCCTTGTAAGGACCTACTGTTTCTAGGATTTTTTTAAAAACCCTTCATTCATTCTTGTTCTAAAGAAGATATCATACTGCACATGTTAAGTTATATGAATAAGCATCACCTTAAACAATCCTTCTCGAGAGTCTGAAACAGCTATTCTGCAACACAAATTTTATACACAGAGAAATATTTTCTTTTTTTTTTTTTTAGGTGAATATATTGTTATGACAGTTTATTTCCACCTCAGAAGGAAAATGGGTTATTTTATGATTCAGACCTATATCCCATGCATTATGACCGTGATCCTCTCTCAAGTTTCATTTTGGATAAACAAGGAATCTGTTCCTGCTAGGACTGTATTTGGTAATTATTTCCTTTTTTTTTTACGATTTGTTGTACTTGCTCTTTTAATAACTCTCACTAGAATAGTCCTTCTTAATGCCTTCGGGTATACTTCATGCTATTGCAGAAACAAGGGAATAATTTAAATTCAGAGGGAATTTTGCTATTGATGTATGAAGAATGTTATGGGAATCCTTGGAATCTGAAGAGAAACTTGGAATGTATAACCAGATGGGTGGCATGGTCACCTGTAGCAAATGGCTGCTCAGCTCTAGGGATTCTACCTGCTTGAGGGAGCAAACTGGAAAGACCAGGCTCTGAGTAATACACTCAAGTCCTTAGTCTAGATCCAGATGAGATTTATCCTCCAGTGGACAGTAGTGGAAGTACTTGAACTCACGGTTTATAGAATACATGTAAAATAAATTGATTTGGAGTGCATGAGAAGTTCCAATGTCTTGTCATGAGGTGTCTGTCTCATCAGTGGAAGCTTGGTAATCTTCAGTGGAAGACAAAGTGCAAGAATCTAAATTGAAATAAGTTTCCTAACAAAGAAATAGGATAAAAACATTTTAAAAGCAGCCTAAAGCAGGAAGAGAATGTTCTACTACAAGCCTTTCTATAGACTGCTAGATGCTGGCAAGAGTCATAGGGGCAGTTGTACTGGCAGCTCCAAGTCTTTCAGGATAATGATTTAATAGAGAAAAAACTGATAGAGACTGTCAGTAAACTAATATTGTCACAGATTACCATCCCCTCCTTGTTTTTGGTTAATCTTTGGTTATTTATTTCACTTTACCCTATTTTTACATCTATTTGACAAGCATTTTTAGAAACAATTTGGACAAAACTTCTGCTTGAAGTGGACAAAGGTCCACTCAGGTCCTTAGAAAGGATAAACAGAGATGGGTCTCTGTTTCTTCAGGGGAAAAAACAAAACCCAAACAACATTCCATTTTTTTTTTTTCCCTCAGACTTAAACATTTTCAGTAGTGCGGTTTTCAACACCTTCCCACTGAAGAAGGTTTTTTAAGCTAGCATCTGTATTTTTTATCCTCCTGAAAATTCTGTGATATCCTTTGAGCTTTCATGACCTGGCCATTACTCTTTTTTCATTTTTCTTCTTCAGTACGAAGTATTGATTTCATTGTGACCAGTTCTCTGTATGGCAGTGTGTAGGTGAAGCTTGTATTTATTATATTACTTTGATAGAATATCATCATTTGGCAAATAGGGATGTGAGGAATCTGTTGAAAAACATATTCTTAATGAGTTTAAATTCTTCTGAGCATAAGAATCACATCTTGAATTGGAATGGCTACAGTGTTCTTTTCATAAGAATAAGGACATCTCTGTTTGTAGTCACTCACCACTGAAGTTATCATGCTAGGACTTATGCAGTGTTCACTACATACTTGGGGTTCTACATTTGTATGATATAGGATATTTTGGATGAAAAAAGAAAACAAGACCCCATTCATTTGTTTTTATACAGCATATGTTTACATTTGAAGTACTACCATGAAGTGGCCATATTTTGAGTTCAGTGTTCATGCTTGCACACTTTTTAATTAAAGTTCTTTCAGAAGATGAGATTCTAATTAAATTTCATTGGCTGATTAGTAGCAGAAGGCTGTAAAAAAACCTGATTTTTTCTTAACTGTCAGAGTTTTTAAGATAATATTCTTCCTTAGCACCAAAATAATTTGTCATGACTTAATGGCTCCTGGATTACTACTGTGATCAGAGGCACAGATGCAGAATAATAGGTGGCATTCAGAACCATTTACTAGAAAAGTCATGTTTTTGCTGCAGTCTGAAGAGTACTCCCCAATTTAACAATTTAAATCTTATTCAAATGTTTAGAAAATAACTTGTAAAAATTCCTTCTGAACTTGATGTGAATATGAAATGAAGGCTTCTGTGTTTTCTTCATGTGAGCTGTAGATAATCTGCTGAAATCATGGTTTTCTTTGCCTCCTTTAAAAAGTGGTTAACTGCTTGTGGGCTTAGCTGCTCATGGATATGTGATACTTGCCATGACTTAGATCTAATGCAGTATTCAGAAGCAGCAGAGAAAGACTCACAAGTGATTTAAAATTCTTTGTTTGAAGCTGCTTGCCAGTTCTTGCTTTATTTTACTTTGATTCAACAGTTCTTTTGCTTTATTTTTTTGAAGGAATAACCACAGTGTTGACAATGACGACGCTGAGCATCAGTGCAAGACATTCACTGCCAAAAGTATCCTATGCTACTGCCATGGACTGGTTCATAGCGGTTTGCTTTGCCTTTGTGTTCTCTGCTCTTATTGAGTTTGCTGCTGTCAACTATTTTACTAACATTCAAATGGAAAAAGCCAAAAGGAAGACGGTAAAGTCCCTTCTTGAATTTCCAGTTGCTCCAGTACAAAGAAAAAGAAGTACAGAAGAGACATTCACGGTATGTTTTCAGTTTATGCAAACATTTTCTGTATTTTTTAAATGTTTCTTGGTAAAAGTTGGCCTTTAGGTTCCTCTCAGGTTCCCTTTGAGATAATGATCTGTTGTACATCAGATTAATGGAAGGCTAATACTGCACTATATTCAACTATATAAACCTGTAAAACTCAATATAATTACTATTTGCATTATTGAATAAACTCGGGGAGAGGTAGTGTTTATGTCCATCCCTATGTGCAGTACCTTCTATGTTTATTTGTGTTTTGGTAAATGTCAGTTAGGATGGGAATCTTGAGGAAACTCAGTTTCCTTTTGCACATTAGCTCTGTATGGACTGATTATGCAGGCCAAGATATAGCAGATTATAAGGGCATCATGTTATCTTATGTGGCTAATGTCTTTAATGAATTAAAATGTTAAAGGCATTGCAGCTGTACCTTGGAGCACTTCCCTAAGCATCACAGTTCTCCTTGCATTGCATGTGTTGCCTATCAAGAGTTTTCTTCCTTTGTGTTATAATTTCAGGAATTTTCAAAGAATGTCGGATGGAAGCTTTTTGTCTACCACAGATATAATTTTTATGCAATTTGTGTATCTTTGCACAGTAGTTCACCTCAATTCCTGATAAGATTTTGGGGCTCTGTTTAACAAAATTCTGTCTTGCTTTCCTAATGTTTTGGATTAAGTGTGACTTGTGTGGGAGCTGTTTCAGTGTGTGGACTAGCTAATAAAGGCTCGATCTTGTAGGTCTCTTCCAACCTAGTGATTCTGTGATCAGCGATTCTGTGATCTCATTGAGCTCCCTGGCGATTACCCTTTCCTCACTTTTCCCATTCCCACTAAATGGTGCTTACTCTCTGAAGCATCTATTCATGAGACACACAGCAAACAAAGTTGTTGCAGTACCTGTCCCAGCCATGCAGTGGGCCGGTACTTCCCAGCCATGACTGACTCTTGGCAACACCACTCAAGAAGTGAGACGCTGACAGCAGTGTTGTAATTTACTTACTCTTCCTGTCAGGCTGACTTTGTAATTTCCTTTGGCTGAGCCAGGATTTAAGAAGTGCTGTTTTAGACTAACTCTTGTTAATTTTGTCTTCTGTCTCTTTTCACATCTCGTTTGTCTCCTTCCCTATTCATCTTCTCATTTTTGCCTTCCCACCCCTTCAATTTTCTATTGCTGCGCAGCTGCTGTCCACCCACTTCCATTTTTCTTCCTCTTCTTTGCTCTCCTACTGTAGATACTGTTTTCAATCTCCTGGCTATGATGTTATGTTAGCTCCCATTTCTGCTTAAAAGGATAGATATTCTCCTGAAGAGTTTGTTATTTTTCACTCCATTGGCTGCTGATAAGAGGCAGGAACAAGAAATATGTTTGTAGTAGCACGTAGTTTACCTTGTACACAGGGGTATTAGTGCTAGGATCTTATGCTAAGCTTCTTGCCTGTGCAGCATGTAGTAGAGTATCTTGGCTGCTCCTGAGCAGAGAAAGTAAATACTGTGTTTGGTGACAGGTTTTATTTATATGCCTAAGAAAATAAATTACTTAACAGTTTAATCCTAGGTTTATTTATTACATTTTATTTAAAACAATAGGAAAAACAACCGTTTTCTCAGGTAGCTTAATAAAACCTATTCTCATGGAGGCTTCAGAAAACTCTTTTGACTCATGGAAAGAATTGCTTTAAGTTAGTAGTGGGTAATGCTTAGCCATTTATACAAGTTTTGGAGAAATTCCTTTCTGTCATTTTTTCCCCTATTGTTATTATGATTACTATTACTGTTACTGTTTTTGAAAAACATCAGCAACAGAACACACGCATTTTCTTTCAACTTGAAAGATAGATAAAATGAGACGTGAACAGTTCTATTGTGCTGCTTAATTAATACTGCTGGGAGAAATGTGGGAGCATTCTCACAGATTGGGAGATTTTGAAAGCTCTCAAGGGAGAAATCTACTCAAGGGGTTACACATTAATGTTATGAGTATGTAAATGACTGATGGTGTTGATTGTACCTTGAACTTTATATTTTTCCATGGTGTTCTCCCTAGTTATGCCTATACTAAGATTTGAGACTTTGCCCTTCCAAGACATGTGTACAAGGTGAGCCCACGGCTACTGTTATAAAGGTGTAACTATGGTGCAATCCTTTCTACAACTAGAGGATTACTTCAGGTCTCCTGCTGGGCAGAACAGAAGCTAGGATCACTACTCTAGAAACTAACATGGATGTTACACCCTGCTTTCCAGTCTAGCATATAAAATACTTGCTGTATTTTGCTTATAGGGACTAATCTAGAATTTTCTTTATTCCTTATTAATATGTATTTTATTATTTTATTGTTTATTATAATATTATATCATTAATTATATTATTATGATATTATCTCTTTATTCCTTATTATGAATCTGACTTTTTCTTCTGCACAAATACTGTCGAGTCAGTGCTGATTTACTAGAGATAATGAAATCTCAGTTTTCTTGAGATTGGTGCTGAGTTTGTAATGCACAAAGATTATAGGACATTCATACAGCTGGACTGCATGAATATCATTTGTAAGAATATAATTTGTAAGCAATGTTTCTTAACATAAATCTACACATTTTTTCTCAATAGATAAATGATAGGCTTGATTTCTTGACCCAGTTAGTATTATAAAACAATCTGTACTGCTCTGGCACTTGTGTGGTAGAAATTCTGTTGGTAGCTGTACAATTGCCAGAGCTCAAGGGGAAAGTTGTATTTAACTTTGAAACTTTTTTCAAACAGACTTTGCCTGTAATACTAAATTTACCAGTCTCCCAAAATTAAAAATTTTCACTTAGCTCAGGGAGGAAATTGAGAAATTGGGAAAGAAGATGCCTGAATATCTAAGTCTTACAGTTCTTTCTGTTGACTATCTCACCATTAGCAAAGTGCTTTGGATCTTCTACTAATTAAGGAAGATCCCTAATTATTAATTAGATCCCTAATTAATCCCTGTTTCTTAAGCCTATTACCCTTATACTTTAGCCTACCTTGAAATGGCATACATACAGGTGTCTCTGCCTGCTTTTTTTGGAATTGAGATGTCATCTGTATAGGTCCTCTGAAAAATTACAGAGCATTTGAGGTTGTTAAGGAAAACAAACAAGGTGACATTATACATATGTATATAAATATATATATCTAAAATATATATATATATATATATATATTTAAATTAGGGTTTTGTTTTATGAGCTATTTTATGATATTCTGCATTATTAAACTAGATTATGAAACTAGATAGTTTCATGCATTTGATTTTTTTTTTTTCCCTCAAGTAACATGGTGGGATTGTCCATGAAGGATTCTATATGGGAGAAAGTTGGGCTATGAAACTGAATTAGCTATAAAATATGAAGATTTTTCTATCTGATGATATTAGAAATTAGGCATATTGATAGTAAACTTTGGTAAAGATAAATTGCACGTTATTAGAATTCCTTTTTTGATGGGTACATCTTTGATCAATTTCTGACCATAGAATTAAAGTGTGTTTTCTATATTGAATGAGTTCATATACTACTCACGTTAATTAGAATTTTTAGTGGTGGGTTATTTTTCTCTTTTCAGTCAAAACAACTTTTATAGCTGTCTTGGATCAAAGGCAACTTCTGTCATTTATTATTATGATCAAATCATTTGGATATATGACTTCATATTATATATTTCTTTACTAGAACCAATAAATCTTAACTGTAGCAAATGTGGGCTATCTCCTTTTCTAAGTTATTCTCTTACGTAATTATATTTACATTTTTGGAGCCACATGATGTGTGTGACTAATGAATACATTGATTAAAGTAAGCATTAAATGCAGTTCAGGGGCTAGAGAGGTAGTCTGAACTGTGTTAATTCCAACAAAAAAATCCTGGCATCAAGCTAATTTACTGGGCTGAGGGTAGCAGGAGCAAGCCTGCAATAGCTGCAGATTCAGTTTGTGTTCCTTTATCACTGATTTGACTACAGCCATGGTAATCTTCAATATTCTTTTATACTCCTTCCCCTGCCTATCCTATTTCAACTCTTTCTTCTTGTTTTTCACTTCTTGATACAAACTTAATGCATTTCAATAAGGAGGAGTGCAGGTCTGCAGAAGACATCCCAGGAGCAGGACCCAAGCTTTTTTGAGGTCTGGCTTGAGTTCACAAGGGACTTGGACAGATTTTCTGTCAGGCGTGGCAGGACAGCACTGAAATACATCTAAGCCAAGAGAGACAACTTAAACCATGGTTACCTGTGATTTCTTTGTTTTGGAAGCAAGTTAAAATGCTTTCTGTTTAGAAGGAATGAACCTATCCCTAAATGTTCTGAACTACTTTTGTTAGTATAAGCAGAAATGTTGCTGCAAGTCAATGTGTGATGGAAATGAATGATTTATAGTTTGTTATTGGACTCCTATTTTTATGCTTCTGTACTATTTCCTTTTCACTGTATTCCTATGAAGTTTATTTTTAAAGACCTACCCAGTTTTGGAGATGAAGAATGCTACTGAAAAGTAGTCTTCAAAAAATAGACTCCTGAACACTGGTAACATGAGCTTCAACCTCAGCTGTTTGTTAAAAGAGTGTGAAACTCGGGAAAAATCAGGTCAGACCCAAAAAAGCCCTTTTGAATGGAATTATTTCTTCAAACTCAGTCACAAGTAGGTTGTAACTCTAAATTTTTCTTCCTTTTTTCTGCAGACAGTTAAATGCCATCTTGTCTTTAGCAAGTGCTGTAGCATCTAGTGGGGGAACTCGGGGGTCAGGCTCTTCACTGCCATGGAGGCACGCACTCCTCTCCTTGCTCGGGTGCTCTGTGACCGGCATCCACCCGGCAAGTTTACGAGAAATGTTGTCATGTAGACAAGCTGCATGCAGCTGTTGTGTGATTCAGGTGTATTTTCTCTGGTATGAAATGTTTATCTTTTAGTCATTTGTGGACACAGCTCAAGTTATGTGATGGGGTTGCAGAAAAGTGGAGATCCTTTGG